GCAGAGCCCCTGTCCCCCAGGTCACTCAGTGCTCAGGGTTTCCATCAATGCTGACAGACTGCCCTGTTCTCCACGTGTGTTTGCAGTGGTGGCTCTGCTGAGCGAGATCCGGGACGTGAACGTGGAGGAGGAGCCCGTGCGGTACTTTGGGAAGGGTTACCTGGTGGTGCTGCGCTTTGTCACTGGATTCTCACACCCCCTGACCCAGAGTGCAGTGCTGGGCTGCAGAAGGTGCAGTGGGGACTTGTTAAATTAGAATGAGTAAGGTGGGAAATACCAATCACATGGGTCAATAAGTGCCGATTATTGAGACTAAGCTCAGTTTTCAGACTTGCTGGTATGACCTCGTGTTACTCAGTTTGGAAACCTTTTAAACCTTAAAGGTTTTCAGTTGTAGATGTTTGGGTAACACCATCTATCAGGATCATATTTAGATATCTAAGATCCCTTTAGTGCTGCATGTCTGCTGGAGTTACCTTCCTCAGCTGTGCAATGGCAGAGGGGATTAATTCTGTTTTGCAAACATTCAGTGTATTAGTTAACAGGGGATTTGTTTTAAGCATTGATAATAAGGACCCTTGCAGCAGGAACTGGGGAAAGGATTGATTTGTTCTGATGTGGAGCTAATGGCTTGGTGTGGGATGCTGTCAGTCCTGATCTGTATGTCATATAGAGTAGTCCCTCCAAGCAGTTATTCCCAAGATTTAATGTGCTTGTTCTTGTCTTGTCAGCACCACAGTTCCACTAACTCTTCCATTGTTTCTTCTTTTCCACAGTGATGTGGAAGCAGTTGCCAAACTCATTACTAGTTTTCTGGAGCTGCACAGAGTAGAAAGCCCCCAAGATTTCTCTCAGAGCAGCGAAACAGAGGCGAGTGATGCAGATGAACCACAGGATAAATACTAACAGTCATCATGAGCTGAGGCTCTCACACATTTGGAAAACACTCCAATTGTTCTTCAGAAAAAGAAATCCCTCACAACCTTGGCCTGGGCATTTCTCTACAATTTGCAATGAGAGGAATCTGTCTTAATGCACCTCATTCAGTGCTAAACTGCTTCGAGACCCACGTTCCAAGAATTGCTGTGGTAGAGTCCAAAGCAAATTCTGTTTCATTTGCTCTTCTGCCTTAATTCCTGCATGTGGACACTGCTGGCTTTTGAACTTTGTCAGCTCACCAAACTTGTCTAGGAATAATTATTTATTGATGGATTGGTATGAAATAATTGCTTTCCCATTAGTGAAGTGGAGGTGCAGGTGTAAACAGCCTCTTACTGCAAACATCTGCTGCAGGTACAGTACATGAGGTGTAGAAGAGTTGAATTTGTAACTCCTGACACAACGTTTTGAGGTTTGTCTTGAAATGTTATGACTGAATATATTGCTAAATCCGTTTTAAGCAGCTTAATATATGCAATTAGGTGATGCAGAGTAGTGGCACTTTTATATTCTCTACTACTGACTTGCCATTGGATACCCATGGGAATTTAAGTCTGAGTACCTGTCTTGGAATTCGGAACACCAGGTTGCTTAACCTGTAACGTGGTTTTAACTTCCCTTGGACTGGCTGAGGAGCCATGAATAGCAAAGGGAAGAATGATCATGCTGATGATTCAGTGTCTTTGGGATGTTCTAGATTAACCCTGTTCTGCTTCACTTCTGGGCACAGACTGCCCCAGGACAGAATAACTTTTTTTCCTAGACCTCAATGTTTACTATTTTAACTGTGTGTTTAGAAAGGAAGCAAGGACATCTGTTACTTTAGGCAGGGAAAAGTCCGATGTCAAACAACATGGTAGCCTAGAGTTGTTCAGTATTTCCTCACTTGAAATACCCAAGTGCTAAATAATAATTTTTTTTAAGATAGCTGGGGTAGATTCCATGTTTGACTTGTACCATGTTTTACTCCAGGTGTGTGGTGTCCTCTGTTCTGACCAATGATTTCACAAATAGTTAAAATATTAACTTTTCAAGGTATTTTTTGAAGTAGAAGCTACCTCTCTAAGTCAACATATTCTGTCTAGAAGTAAAACTCCATCGTGTCTACATCAATATGTCAGTACAAGAACAAACTTGTAAAGAACTGAAAGCTCCTTCAAATATGCTTGTACTGAAGTTCCCTAGGTTTTATTTAGGAATCTTATGGTCTTAAGACCTGAATTAGAAAATACTTACACAGTAACTTCTAGGAAATGTGAACAGGGTACAAGGTAACTGTTGTCTGCTTTTGGTTGGCCAGCAGCAAATGTCTTCTGGCAGCAGTTCCTTTAGGACTTCAGAGCCTGTGTTTGTGTTTCAAGTTGCTCTACCTCTACAGAGACAAGGCTCTGAAAAGCTTTCAGCAGAAGCCCTGTCCTGTTGTGTGTTCCACAGACCTGGAGCTGAGCACCTGCTGCTCTGACCAAACCCAGGTTGTACCAGGATTTACCTTCCAGCTGCTCAGCCCTGGGATGTGGCTGTGAGGCAAAGGCTCAGTGCTGGCAGTGTGAAGGTAATCTCCCTGCAACAGGGAGATGTTTCCTTTAAATAGGAAAAGACCCTTGTAATCACATCAGGTACCAAGGCAGACCTCTGCCAGTACATGTTTGTAAAGTCCTCTGAGTCGGTGGCATAATCATGTGGTTTTCAGTCCCTACCCCACAACACTGCAACTGGGAAGGTGCTGTGTATGAATGTGGGAAAATTAGGCAATTAGCTGAATTTGGCCTTTATTCTGAAGCACAGCTGTAGGTTGAGCATAGTTATCAAACCTGTTTAAATGTTGCAGGGTGTAACACCTTGGAGAGCTCCTCATTTAAATCCATTGTGATCTATACCCCAAGTGGTGCTCGTTTTAGAGAGAGGAGAATGACATTGGGGATTTGGAGAACTCTTTTTTTCCTGACACTGTAAAGTGAGAATGATGAGTGTTCTCAGGACTTCCAGTAAGAAATACTGAAAAAACCTAGAGTATTTAATGGTACAATGTAGGCACAGCCTGTGGTAACTGCTGCTCTGAGTCAAGGACGTGCAGAGGCCATTTGTGGTGTGCACTGCACTTACATTCTGAGCCCACGGAGTGGACCATGGATAAAACAGGAAAAACTACCTGCATTCAGTCATAGCTATACTGGGCTTCTTTTGTATTCCCATGAGAGCTGACATTCCATGGAAGATGTAAACCGTGCTGTAGTTTTCCAGTTAAAATCAGCTTTTGAAAGGTACGTCTGCTGGTGTGACCCTGCCCTGCATCCTGTGTCCTGCTTCTGCTGAGCTCTTGTGCATCCAGCTTGCTGTGCATTGCATTCCTGGTGTCAGTCATGGATGTCCTTATGGACTATGCAATGTCTCACACAAACACTGAAACAATGTAAGGAAAATTGAGAATCCTCAGAAAGGGGAATGACCTATAATAAGGTACAACATGGCTTAAAGTACATCCTGTGGAGTAAGTTGCCTTTTGGGTTGATGTCCAGTGATCAGCTCTTTGAAGGTGCTGTGTGGTGTCCCCCTCAGCCCTCAGTGCCCTGCGGTGGTGGCAGGAGAGGGATGGAGCTGCCATGCACTGTGTGTCTGAGAGGGGTGTTTTGACTCCTCAGCCTCTCCGAGCAGCTGAGCCATTCCCTCTAGTGCCATTTCCATTTGGCTTTGGGCAACTCTGCCACTGTACAAACAAGTACAGCTCCAATGGGAACCTGAATTCCATAGTCTGAGCTAAAGGAAGCACTGAGGGAATTGTCTCTTAACTGTGGGTTCTGCCTGGTGTATTTGGGCACTGCTGTCTGATACACTTGGGAGCTTCTTGTTTCTCTTGGTCCACGTTTGCTTCCTGTCCTCAAAAACTTTATCTTTTGTAGCTGGAAGACATCACCACGTTTTCATGTTTTGCAGTAACTGTGTGTGTGTAAATTTAACTTGCAAATGGCCTTAAACATGGATTTGGTTCTGCAGTGTCTGTGCACTCCTCAGTGATGTGGTGCAGCTTGATCTGTTGAGGACAGCAGGTGCTAACTCAGGACAGGTGCTGTTCTTCCCTCTTTGGACTAGTCCTGTCTCATCCTCCTCTTTTGCCACTTCTTACCATTTTGCCAGAGGCTTTTTTGGATGGTTTTCCTCACTCCTCCTGGGCCCAGCAGTTTGAAAGGCCCAGTAAATGTAGCCTTAGGTGGGCCTGGTGTGAAGTGGCTTGGACTCAAAGAGTGATGTGAAAGACTAGTTTTGTTAGGAAATTAGGTACTCCTGGGACAGTGTTACAGGAGATGTAGTTGTCATTTTTGCATATCAGGCCATCTACTGACTTGTGCCTGGACAGCTGTACTTTATAAGACTTAGAAATTATTTAAAACCAGAGCTTAGGTTAGACCTAACAGCCTGCCCCATAAACCCAACCCTTTCTGTCGTGTCCTTTACCACAACTGTGCTGTAGTGACAAAAGCCAGAGTGCATGGAGTGCAAGCTGTACAGAGGGAGAACACTGCTCTAGGTAAGGCATAATCCAATATTGGGATATTTCACAGTGAAGTAACGTCAATTGTGCAAGAAAAATCAAAGTATTTAAACTGTCTAGTTGATATCTGACTCTTGGGCTGTATTTATGAAGTTACAGATACCAAAAACTCAGCTGGCTTAATAGTAAATAAAGAGTGCTAGTCCTGACACTGTCATAGATTGCTGAGAGGCAAAAATCCTTCTTGAAACTGTTTAGAAATTGCCTTTTTTTTTTTACTGTAAAATTGCAAGTAGAATTGCAGCAAGGCCTTGTTATACTGTCTTTTTTTAAAAAAAAAGTCCATTGATAAAATCAACTTTGATAACTTGTTTTGCATCACTGTAGTATTTTGTATTGTTTTTAATTAAAATTATTAAAATATTAATGGCTGTCTAAATTACTACTTGACACGGACCTGCTGGAGGAGTTAATGGGGATCCAACTCTCCACTGGTGAATATATTTCCATCTTCCCTCCTTTAAACCAAACCAACATGCCACACACACAAAAAAGAAGCACATTTCCACAAACATTTTGAGTATCAAAGGATTTATTCAAGGAAAATAAGTTAAGATCTTGTTTAGTTCAAGGCATGTAACTTTTGTAATTAAGGTCTGCATAGCAATTGCTTGTTTTTAGAATAAAATCTGCATGTGGACCTAATCACTGAGGCTCTCATTGAGAAAGTTAAAGTTTGTCTTATGCTGTACTTGTACTTTCTGAATCTAGAGATTGTTCCAAGAGAATTTCAATACCTGTGCTTCTAAAAAAAAAAAATAATTTAAAGGAATAAGTGAAGCACAAGTAAATATTTTGAATATTCATGGTGATGTATTTAACTACCAGACTTCTGAATTATTTCCACTGTGGTGTTTATCTTATTGCTCCAGTTACGTCCACAAAATATATTGCCACACAATATGAAAAGTTTGATATTAAAGCAGAATAAACCAGCATTTTTTCCTCATATTTAGTAACTTCAAGTCATGCCTCAAACTGGGACAAACCTGCAGTTTCAGGTTTTACAGAGCTCATCAGGTGCCTTAGAGAGTGGGATGGTGCTTTTCTGTGGGAATGAGACTAAGCTGAGGTTAACTGATGCTTTGGCAGCCAGTGAAGCAGCCCAATGTTTGTTTGGCAGTTTTCACTCCAAGTCCAAGGGTCACTATTCCTGGAGCTCCCTCTGGCTCTGGCCTGGAATGGAACCTGTCCCCTCCTGCCTCTGCTGTGACCTGTCAGCACCTGACAGGGCCTTGCTCAGACCTCTGCAAAAGGCTGGATGTTAATCCCTGACCTCAGGCTAATCAAAGCAGGATTTAAGCCCCAGGCTTTTATGTGTTTCAAAGACTGAAAAAATCCAACCCAAAATCTGGAACTGCTCCCTGCTGTGGAAGGACTGGTGATGGAATGGCAGGACACAGCACAGCTGACACATGGAGGAGTGGCAGGACAGAACAAAAGGACCTAAAGCATGGTGTAAGTATCCTAAATATTTCTTTTTATAGAAATTGCAAAGGGTGGACATGCTGGGCACTGACTGGAGTAGAACTTGTAGAACTTTTCCAGGTATTGTTAAGTAAGAAACTCTATTGCTACAAATACTGAATGTGGAAGAAACTGGGTTTTTTTCCAGAGTTGTGATCCTGCATTCTGTTATGCAAGGGCAGCAAACCTGACTTACAGGGCAGGTGAATTAAGGCTCAGTGTATGTTAAGACAGGAAGATTAAAATAGACTTGAAGTCTATTACACCAGTAAATTCCTTCTTGCCCTCAGGTCACTGTTGTTTAATCACAGTTCAGCTCTCCAGATGACAAACTCCAGCTCAATGACTAGTTGGTGATTTCCACTAGCCGTGTTTTCCCATGGAATGAGACAGACTAATTGAAGTGCCCCTAATTTTGTGCTTTTATTGCTTCATCTAAATCATCCACCACTTGCTGCAGCTTCTGCAGGCTGGGGTGGACGTTCTCCTCCATCCACTCCTCTATAGCACACTGGTGGAAAACTTGCTCCATGGCTGCTTGGAGGTCTTGCACCACAGCATTCCACTTGGAGAGGAGACTGAGCAGAAATGAGAAGGGAGGAACAATGACATTTGCAGGTGAGCTCTGCCTCAGGGGAGGGTTGGCTTACTGGCCTTAGGAAGAGAGTGCTGTCCTTAAAATGACTTTAACAGGAAAAGAAGCATCTATTACAAGAGCCCAAAGGACTTGATTTTGTTCAGATGGCAAAAGGTTGATGCTGTTTCTGTTTAAGTACCAATAATCCTGGCACTTTTCTCATGCAATGACTTTTAAAGTACCGAGATGTGAGCTCAGAAAACCACTATACACATTTTAAGTGTAACTGAAACCTGCTGTGAGACTTGTTGGGAATTTAATTCTGGGTTTTATCAGAAAGAGTAGATGCAGTTGGATATTCACCTTATCACAGCAAAAAAAAAAAAATCAGCATGAACTGGCAAAATGTGTAGGACAAGTTCTGAACAGCACATGGTGACAAGGAGCTGGGAAAAGGGTCTGGATTTATTCTGATCCCTGTCTGGAAGCTGGTCCATGGTGAAATCCTACACCAAGGCCAACAAGTGCAGTGAGGTGCACAGGAGTGGACAAGGGAGAGGGTTTTGGAGACCAGTTCTGTACTTGTATTCAAAGAACTTATTCAACAGAAGGCAGGCAAACATAAAACTAGAATCATAGAATGGTTTGAGTTGGAAGGGAACTTTGATCATCTAAATCCAACCCCAACATTTTCTGTTTAAACCCATATTATGAATACTTGATATTGTTTGACTCCCACTGATGCTTCTGAGATAATTACAGAAAGAGGCAAGGATTCAAAACTTGTAATTGAGTGCCCAAAATCTGACAGACTGTTTCCCATGTGATGCAAAACAAGAGGTGTTACCTGACTGCATCTGGCTGGAAGAGGTGCATTATTATAGGATGAATAATCTTCCTTTTCCTGTGGTAGGGGCTGAACCAGCCTGTGACATACCTGAAAATGGATGTTAAGAGGAGCAGAGTTTGAAAGACATCTGTGTTTGTAGGATGACAGGGAGGTAATAAGACTTTAGACTTTAGCAGAGATAATGCTTAAGGAGTAAGTTTATTTAAGTCTATATATCTTTGGAACTAGCTTGTAAAAGACTGTTCTTGGCAGATGATAAAAACTGATCATCTGCTGCAGTTTAAGTTTCATTTCGAGCTCCTTTTTTTGTAACTGCACCATTCAAAAATTTCATTTTAACTTTAAATAGCAGTAAAATGTACCTCAGGAAAGAACCAGATGCTTTAAATAAGGCAGCACATAGTATTTAGGAATTCTGCTGAAATATTTTAAATTTTCAGCTAAATATTATGTTCTGCTGAGGTGCCAATGATGCCTGAAATGCAGAGCTTGATGTTTAAATCACTTTGCTGGAATTGTGCCCCACTTGGAGGTGATGCAGCTCCAACACTGAGGCAGCCAGGCAGGGAATCAACATAAACCTCATTACCTGTTCCTTTCCAGAAGTTCATCCACTGATGACTTGAGGTAGAAGCTCACTTGTGTCACAAGGGTGAGGATGTTGCTCCCAGGAAAGGTGCCCAGACTGGTGCTGGACAAAGAGGATCCATTAGTTTCTGAACTTACCACGCAACGAGAAGCACCCGAATTCTCCAGCTGGAATTTTACCTCATGTAAGTATCAATCTCCAGGTTAGACATTCCCAGGAGCTTTTCCACATTTTCTTTAACCTTTTCAGAGTAGCCACCTGGCAGAAGACAGTGGCAATAAGCAAAAGGAGCCTAAGGAACCAGAATGGTCGTACAAGAGGGTTTTTCTGGAGTACTCTGCATTGGCTCAGCAGTTCTTCCGGGATGGAGATTTTGTAAAAGGTACAATGAGAATAGAAGAAGGAAAAAACACTTGTGGGTGGGAAGTGGAGCACATGGTCTTTCACAGAGTTTTCTGGTAAAGCACTTCCCAGCTCTGAGCCTCCCATTCAGGATGCTGAATATTTGTAGTTCCTGAGTTAAAAATCAGTAACATGTGGGGCTTTATTTTGAAAATAAGAAATGCAGCAAGAAAAAAAAAAACCCTTTCTGTTGACAACTGCCTGTAAAGAAACCAGAACTACAGGAAGTATTTTACCAGGCAGTGTCCTTCCTACATCCATTTTAAGAAAATTGCTTAGTCAATGCAACTTTTATACTTAAGCAAGATCTAAATCTAAACTAAATGAATCTAATTTATATGTCAGTATTGTTTCAAATCAGTTTAAAAAGCAATTCAGCTTCTTCAATTTATTTTTTAGTATAAACATGAAGTTTTTCATCATTTGTGGGTTAGAACATAATAAATGATGAGTATCCAATGGCTATTTTTAAATACTTAGGCCAAGAGGCTTCTCTGCTGCCATACTGCAAACTGTAATTTACTGTTCATAATTCAGACCATGAGCAGATAGTCAAACCACCTCAAAATATAATAAGCCTGTGCCAACCTTAGGGCAAGGGCAGTTCCCTCTTGTGCAAGGCATTAGCTGAGAGAGAATAAAGTTGTCATTGTACCATTCTTTAGTGCCTGCAGACACACAGCCAGGGATGGAATTGCCACTGGGAGAAGCTCACACAAAACAGAGAAGTGATCATACCTAGGTAAAAAAAAATCCATTAATTAGACAGTTTACTGGCAGAACATACTAAATAAATGGGAAGTTTTAATATTTCAATCATTAAAATTAAAGAGCTTTAGAAACATCAGTTTCTGTCTCAGAGAAGGGACCTTCTATCCCTGAAAAACAAAGTATTTCTGTCTTACTAATAAGAACAGATAAAAATGAAATTACTTTCTCAAGGCAAATCAGAGAGAGAAATTGGAATTCAGCTCTCTGGTATTCCCTTAGACCTCCTGACTTGCATAAAAACCTTTTAGTCCTTCTTTATATGAACAAGTTCTTCTCTCTTATGCAACTTCATTCTGTTTGAGTTCACATCAGACATTCAGATACATCCACCATGCATGAACTATGTTCTCTATAAGCAGTTTAGGTGGCACAAAGTACATTCAAGCTTTCAAACCCAATCTGCTGGTGGTGGTGTCTCCAAAACAATTGCTCCTGCTGGTTAAGTGCTGTACCACCTGAGTGGATCTCTGAGGCTCAGCAGTGACTGACAGGAAGGATTGCAGGGTTGCAGAGTTCCCTTCCAGCTCCCCAGCCTCCTTGTACCTCCTGGGGAGTTCTGGGGTGGAAGTTTGCCTCCGTGTTATCCCTGGAACCATCTCAAAGGCTGTTCCTCACCTCTGCCAGCCGGTCAGGGCGATACCTTCAAGGACATCAGGGGGGGTCCTGCTGGCCACTTCCAGCCACTCCAGCTGGTTCTTCAGGTGGTGCCCAATAAGTGTGAGGGACTGATTCACTCCTGTGGCTCCTTTAAAGGCACTTGCAAACCACACCTTGGAGAAGCCACATCTCCGATACTTCTCTAGGAGCTGCACTGCAATGAGACACAAAGGGACACTCACAGCATGAGTCTTCTCCATTTTCAGCCCTGGCTGAAATGCTGAGGAGGAACCAAGGTCCAGTTCCAACAGGTTGATGAGGTCCCAAAGATGGGACATCAGACACCTTCTCTGAGGAGCCTTTTTGGTGGCTGCCCTCCTGTTTTCATGTGCCCAGTTAACTGTATTGCATTCCCTTGGATTGTTACAGTGCTAAAAGAACCCTGGGCATGTAACAAGCCTGCACAACATCTGACAGCTGATTCTTTTTCCAACAAAGAAACATTTTCATGCGTGTTAAATGCCTGACTGGAGCCTTTAGGAGTTTCCCTTTGAATTCTGTAGATGTCTGAAGCCTTGAAGCTTCTTTTGCAGAGCTGCTCAATACAGGGCTATTGGCTCCCACTGGTTTCAGTGTGAGGAGAGTTGATGTAACAGTGCTTGTGAAAAACCTCTCAATGCCCCATCAGTGTTGAAAAGAATTAAGCAGCAGACAATGCAAGTCCTTCATAGGAGAAACATAAATAGTAAAAGGAAATTAGTAATAGCAACTCTTATGTGAAATCAAACGAGCTGTGTTTATGCCATTAAAGCAACAAAAAACAACTTAACAAAAATAGAATTGCTTGGTGTCCAACTAAGGTATGTTTTAATGACACAGTCTTGCTTTGGCTATTTTGCTTAAACAGCTCTTTGCTTCTACACAGCTCAGCAGAGAAGCACAAACCTTTGCCCTCCACATCCAGGTCGGCTGCATAGTCCCAGATCATGGGCTGCACCAGCTGTGGGACCCCGGAGTCTGGAAGGAACAGAGCTCTCCTAAGTAATGGAAAACAGCCAGGTAAAAGTGAGAACTAAGTACAGATTATTGGTGCAGTAGCACGTGTAAGGTAGCTCTGAAAATGCTGGAACTCCATCTGTGCTCAGACTACTCAAATTTTAGCAGTGGTTTCATATTTTTCAACAAACAAGACTCATGATGTCAAGGTCTTGGAGCTACCCCACAATTCAGTGTCGGAGTCCTCATGGTGGGCACCATGATCACAGAGGTGTTCACAGGGCTGCAGCTTCTCTCTGTGTTTGCACCACTGGGAACAGGTGCTGCACAGAGCAACAACAAACATTAGAAGGTGGTGAGAGGCACAGAGATTTAGACTTGGACCGCAGGCTGTTTTATTTGAACGTGTTGAGAAAGTAGAATTGATGGCAGCCACTGCAGGATGAGCATTTTGTTTAAGTGTATGTGTTCAGACTGGCCCACAGTCACACAGAAAGTCTGTGACAGCCAAGGACTGAGCGTTTCTATTCTCTGGTCAAACATATATATATATCTATATATATACATACATATATATATATATATATATATATATCTCAACTCTTCTTGTTTTCATTATTTTCAGGGCCAGCAGATCTGCTTTAACTAGTTGTATAAACCTTTTGGTATGACACAAAACATGCCTCAGCCCATCCCTGGTCACACACCTGCCAGTGTTTCCTCACTCATCCCCCTGAGCATGTCGTCCCACACGATGGGAGTCACCCTGGGGTAAGATGAGGCCACACAACTGGCAACTGCCTTTATGTGGGCCAAGCACAGCTTCTCTGGGGTGTTGTCTGGCTGCTGCAGCCACTGCTTTGACTCCTCTCCTTCACCGAGGTAGTAGACCTGAAACATCAGACAAAGAATCCTGACTGCTTACACAGAAAAAGAAAATGAGTTTGACACAGTATCATTAAGTCACACAATATTCCAAACCTTTTGCCCAGATGGGACACCCTAAGGGGACATATTCAAAAGCACCTCTCAGTGCTGAAGACACTGCAAGCCTTTCTATCAGTCTGCAGGAGACTGTGGCCATGACTACGTGTGATCGTAAGGGAATTTTCCTTTAGAAACTAAAATATTTAAATGCTGTATTTGCCTTTGGAAGGTTTGTTCTTAGGAGCAGCTCTCACCACATTTATTACCTTTAAATCTGGCAATACATCAGGTCCTGAGTTATATAAAACGAGGTTCCTGTCTCAGGGAAGGAGATCATCTGTATGAGTCTAAAAGCAACTTGGGGGCATGTCCAAGTGCAGCCCCCCATACTTGGTCCATGCAGAGAGTGGATTCAGGCCTGTTAAGCTGGATATGCATTTAAACTCTTTGTTGGTTTAGAGCAGGTTTTACCCACAACACATTTATTCTACATAAATAGCATTTTGCTTTATAAAAACTCCCAAGACAAAAAAAAAAACCATTTCCCACCACAAAAAGGCTTATTTTGAGTAACTTGGCCAGAACGATGAGACAACATCTTACATAAAACTCATATCATCTGTAATGAACAGCTCCAATGGATAATCTCACTTTAATCTCACTTTAAATACTCATTTGACCTAAACCCAAGTGCTGAGTTAGATTTAAGAAGCTGCTTTCAATACTTTGATATTACACTCAGACCAATAGAAATGACATCCTGTGCTTCTGGAATTATTTAGTGTCAAAAAGACTTTTCTACACTGGCTTGAGTTGTGTTTTCTGTCCCCAAAATCCCACCCAAACTGAAATGCAGAGTCACAGAATCACAGAATATTCTGAGTTGGAAGGGACTCATGAGGATCATCGAGTCCAGCTCTTAAGTGAATGGCCCATACAGGGTCTCAGCCCTTACCATCCTCCTCAAAGGAAAAACATTTCAGGCTCAAGAGAAGTCCCACCTCATCACATCCGATGTGGAACCATTCCAGGCCCTCGTGCAGGGCCATGACCTGGTCAATCATGGCCTTGACCAGCGCCAGAGACTCCTCCTTGTGCGGGTTCAGGGCGTTGGGCAGCGCCGGCACCTCCCGCAGATGAGCGAACTCCCTGTGCTTCAGCACAAACTGCAAGGGAAAGGAGAGCCTGGGGAGCAGCCACAGAACGAGGGCACAGCAGTGTCCCCTGTCACCAGGGCTCTGAGAGCAGGTCCTGCTAAAACTGGGAGTGCCTGTGAATGAACACCAGGGACAGGCTGGGGGGACACGGCTGTGCCCCATGGTGCTGCGGGGTCTCTGGGTGAAGGAAATGGTGCAGTGTGCCCCTGATCCCAAATCCTGCAGCTGGCACAGCTGGATAATGGGAACATCAGGATTTACATCAGAAATTTCCCAACACAGAATCACATCATAGCTGGAAGGGACCACAGTGGGTCATCTGATCCCACCTCCCTACTCGAGCAGGGTCATCCCAGAGCACACAGCACAGGATTGTGTCCAGATGGTTTTTGAATATCTCCAGCGAGGGAGACTCCACACCCTCTCTGGTCAATCTGTTCAGTGCTGGGTCACTGCACAGGGAAGAAGTTCTTCCCCATGTTCAGGTGCAGCTTCCTGGGCATTGTTTCCTGCCCGTTCCTCTTGTCCCATTGCTGGGCCCCCCGAGCAGAGCCCGGTCCGTGCTCTGCCCCCTCCCTGCAGACCCTGACACACACTGGGGAGGTCCCCTCTCAGTGTCTCCTCTGGAGGCTGAACAGCCCCAGCTCCCTCAGCTTTCCCTTGTCACAGGCATGCTCCATCCCTTCAGCATCTCTGCAGCCTCCCCTGGACCTGCTCCAGCTGCTCCGTGTCTCTCTTATCCCGAGGATCCCAGCACTGGACACAGCACTGCCGATGTGCCTCCCAGGGCTGAGTAGAGGGGGCAGGATCACTCCCTGACCTGCTGGCAATGCTCCCTAAAGCACCCCAGGATCCCACTGTCCTCCTTGCCCCCAGGCAGTGCCGGCTCAGCACACCCCCCCTGCTCCCCCATCCCAGCCCTGCCCCGCTCACCTCCATGTGCCCGAAGCTCTGCACCAGCGGCACCACGTCCAGGCCCTGCGCCCGCGCCCGGCTCAGCACAGCCCGGAGCTCCGCGGGGCTGGGGAGAGACACGTCAGTGCCCCAGGGCACCGGGGGGTACCAGGCAGGTGGTACCTGTGGGTACATGGCAGTGCCCGCGGCTGTGTGGCAGTACCTGTGGGTACATGGCTGTACCTGTAGGCGTGCGGTGCCCGCAGCGGCTCCAGCGGCCCCGTATACGGGAAGGTGTCCTCATATTCCAGCAGCAGCCCGGTGGCACCGAGGGCACGGAACAGCGGCAGCACCTGCGGGAGGGAGGGGACAGCGGGGGAGCGGCCGGGCCGGGATGAGTCCTGTTGTCCCCATCCCCTCCTCACCTGTGCCAAGTATGTTCCCCACCTGCCCCAGGTACACCCCTTACCTGCGCCAGGCATGTTCCTCACCTGTGCCTGGTAAATCCGGCACCCGCCCCAGGTCCCTCCCTCACCTGTTCCAGGTACGGCGCGCGGGGCGCGGCGCCCTTCAGGTCCAGGTGCACCAGGCGCCGCCGCATGCTCCGGCCTCGATTGCTTTGGGCTGCCGCCGCCGTGCCCCGCACACACTGCCGGCCTGCGGCCCGCCGCCCCGGCCCCGCTGTCCCGGCGCTGCCAGGTCGCGTCCCGCTGTCCCCGTGTCCCGCTGTCCCGGTTTCCCGCTGTCCCGCAGCCGCCCCTCCGCCGCCCCCGGCCCTGGGCCGGATCCTCCCGCCCGGCCGAGCGCGCTCCCCAGGCAGGGCAGGCCAGGGCGAAGCGCGCCGAGCGCATCGCTCGCCGCGGAGGAGGCGCGATGGCCCCGCAGCGCCGGGCGCTGCCCCGCGGCCCCGAGAGCGCCGGGAGCGGGCCGGGACCGGCGACGGGAACAGGGACGGGCCGCGGGGGCCGCCGGCACAGCAGGTACCGGCACAGGGGGGCCCTGGGCCGCACCTCCCACCCGCTGCCCCTGGGGCAGCAGTGCCCAGGCCCGGCCGTGGGACCGCGGCTCCGGGGGAGCTGCGGTGGGAGGCGGGGTGGGATCGCGGGTGTTTGTAAATATATGTGTGTGTTTGTGTGTGTTTGTGCTCAAAACCAAGGCCGGGCGGGGCTCCCCGGTATGGGCCGGTCCCGCTCGGCCCGTCCGTCGCTCACGGCCCTGCTGTGCTCCCCCCGCAGCGCCAGGAAGGGCCGGTCCCGGCAGGATCCGCGGGGATGGCGGGCGAAGGCGGCGATCCTGCTCCTCCTCTTCACCGCGGCCGTCGGCGGCCTCGTGCTCTGGAGCCGCCTGCTCGCCCAGGATGGGATCTCCGGGGATGGGATCCTCCAGGATGGGGTCACCGAGGTGCTGGCACATCGCAGCGACAGCCTGCGGGACAAGTTCGTGGAGATCCCCTGCTCGGAGGACTACGACAGCCACAGGCGGTTTGAAGGTATTCGGGCAGGCTTGTCCCACGTGGGGTGACTGTTCAGAGGGCCATAACAGCCGAGTCTGTGAAACTGTGATAAACAAAGTCTCGAGTTTCTATAAGTTTCGAATAATAGTTTATTATATGGTAAAAGCAAGCAGCCGGCTGGGTGACAGAAATGGGACCAGTTTCCCAAATCTGCACACCCCTACTACAGGGTACATTTAGTATTTATCTTAGCTACTTCATGCATATTAATTATATCATATACATTCTACAGGTTTTTGCTAAGTATTTAATAGATGGGTTTTCTTACAGCTAAAGCTAAAGGGTTATCTCTACAACCGGTCATAATTCATGCATCCTTGGACGAACAGGCGCCTAAAGATTTAAAGTTCTACTATATTTTATTCTTAGGATAGTAAGGAGGGTTTAGGCCTCTTGACCTTGTGAGGGTCTGTTTTATTTCTTTATGGGGGTGTAATTAAGTTTTACAATCTGTTTGTTTTATTTTGATATAATCACCCATTTGTTTCACGAATCACAATTATTTATTTATCACAAAACCAGACTTGTGCTGCAAAACTCCCGTGTTTCCAGCAAACTCCTGGTCACTGAGTGTTGCTTAAAGCCCCAAACGTTCGTGCCCCTTGGGCCAGCCCAGAAGTTGTTCCCAGAGGTTACTCTGTCATTCCTGTGTAATTCTCTTCTGAGGCTGCTTTACTTGGCCTCTGTGAAATAAACCTTTTGCTAAGCCTGCTTCCAATTTCTTTTCATACTCTGTTGATTCCTGAAGTCGGCTTTGGGAGTGAGTTTGTTGCTGGTCGATACCATACAGGGTATGGAATGGAACTGTTTTTAGGGCACTGTCTGTCACCAGCATGTGGTAATTGCACAGGTACCAGTTTGTGACACGCTTGTTTTGAGATGTGCACGTGCTGATATCTTTTGATGCTGCCTACAGAGCACTTCTCTGCCTTTATGTCCTTCAGCTGAGCCTGGTTTTTTGTCAAATTGGGATTTGTTTTCCTTGGCACTTATTTCTTTGGAGGGTTGATATGGGTTCTTCAAGAAAAATGGAAGATTTTCATCTTCTCTGATGAAGAGCTGTCAGGAAGCCACCAGCAAGGAATCTTCCTTAGTGGGGGGATTTTTTTTGACAGAGCACCTGAAAACACACGTTCTGTGTTAACTTGGCATAATTACTATGAGGAGAAACTGCTGCTGGCTTTATTTCATAGTGCAAGGCCAGAGAAAACTGCAGCTGGTGTTGCCACAGATTTGGTTATGGCTAAAATTCTCTGTGTTCTCTTATTGGGGCTTTTGCTTATCAAAAGAAACCCCCCAAACCAACACAACTCTTATGTTTCCCTTCCCTGGTTTGCAAGAGGAATTCTCTGAGCTGTGGACTTGCGGTCTTGGCCACCCCATCAGTTATTCTTTCTATCTTAAAGAAGGCAGGAACTTCAGGGATAGGAATGAATGTGTTCTCCATTCTTGGGGGTGTCCCGTGGAGCAGCAGCAAGTGCTGATTGCAGGGTGAGGTGTGACCTCTTGGCTTTATGAGGACGATTGACTTGCTGATCAACCCAGGAGGGACAAAGGGGAGGCACCTTGTGTTTGTATTTTGATTTTCTAACTAGATGTTTGCTTGCTGCTGTTTCTCAATGTATGGGATTGATTTGCGTTTTTAGTAGATGTTTTACGTGTGTTGCCCCGTGCGTTCAGAAGGAGATCAGCAGTGTTGGAAACGCGGGAGCAGCTGTTAATTGGTTAATTGAAGGCGTGCTGTGCTAATGAGCCCTGCACTTGGCTTTTTCCCCACGCGAGGGGGATGATGAGCTGTGACAGCGCCGAGCTCGGTGTGTTACCGACAGCGGAGCGAGGCACAAAATGCCAGTTGTGGTCATTGCCAAACTGGATCCAGCCCTGGAGCTTTGGCCACTTTGGAAACAGGTTTCTATCACTCAATAGCTCCTCGTTCCCAGCCTTTCCTCTGGCCTGACCCCCACAGCTGCGGGCTCTGTGTCAGAAGGGGGCACATTCCTCTCATCACTTGGTGTCTGATGCTCGGCTGGGAAGTTTCCACAGCTAAGATGAGCTTTTTATTTATGCACCTGCCCCCTGCTTCCAACTGAACTGGTGCAACTGAGCTTCCAGTTTGCTTCAAATGATGTGGTAGCTGGTGGCAGAGCAGGTTTTATTTCTATAGCACTGCCTGCCTGTAAACATGCTCCATACAAAATGAAATGTGCTATTTCTCAGAGGCCAAGCACTTAAATTATTGTATTTGCAGAAGGAAGGGTGTTGTGTGAGCAGAGTCTCATCTACATTCTGGAGGCTGTGGCCAGATCTTGGCCATTTCTGCTGCCTTGAGACATGGTTAACTACTTAAAACTGCTGTGGCTACTGGTGTGTCTGATGAAACTCCTGTGTGGGAGACAATATTGAGATGCTTTACCAGAGATTAGGTCAGTGGATGTGGAAAGCAGAGAAGCCTGTGAGGAAAGTGGAGGAAAAGGTCTGACACTGAGACTGTTACAGGGATGGCAGCCAATAAAGCTTTGCCTGCTCTTGTCCTGCTTTGAGATGGGTTGTTCCCATGGCAGGGAGGGTGGAACTAAATGATCTTTAAATCCTTTCCAACCCAGACCATGGGTTCTGTGCATTAGGGGAGCATCTTGATGGAGTCTTTTTTCTCATTGGAATTATGTCCGTCTTAGCAGTTCTTGGCCAAATACCACTTAGCAGGAGATGAAGCTGCAGTTTGGGCACTCGAAGCCCTGTGTTACATTGTGGTTTCTGTGCACTGAACAGGAGCAGGGGCCAGAGGCACTACTTGTGTTTTACATGTTTTGGTATGTTCCTCCTTTACCTTGATTGAAGAAATACATCTCTGATATCCAAAGCTGACGGTGCCTTATTGGATAAGTGGATATTTTGTGTCTCCTGGGCATAAATTTGTGGAGGCTACTGGGTACTTGTGATACTAATCTGAATTTCTCCTGAGTGCAGGTTCTCTGGGATTGCTTTTAACACTTCATTGCTCCCATGTGCCATGGTCTCTGAGACAAAGATGACACATTTCTGGCTGCTGAAATTGTTTTCAAACAGACTGTTCTGATTTTGCCTTAGTATTCACTCACTGTTTGTGCCTTGCTCTTGGTACCTGACCGACTTTATGCTGGACTGTATTTTTCTTGGGATTTTTTTGTTGGGTTTTTTTTTTAATTTCTCCATTTGGAAAAGCTTATGCTATTGCCTTCTCCACTGCCATCTCCTGCCATCTCTTTGTCAGAGACCCCAGACACGTAACAATTGTCTGAGGTAACCCTGTAGTTTTGCCAAATTTGGACTCTCCAGCGCCAGCCTTTCCAAAAGGATAAAATCTATGCTGATGTTTGCAGCTGGAAATGGCACAAATCTCTCCTGAAATCAGAAGGTTTTGCAGAATGTTGTAGAAAGCAAACTCCCCATAGCCAGGTTTGTCCTGGAGTATTGAAATTATCCTTTGAGTTTACTCTTTCCTTGCTCTTCTCTACCTGCAGCTTACCCTTGCAGCCCACAGGAGACATGGCTGGGGTATATCCAGTAAGATGGAGTGGAAATTCCTACAAAGCACTTGTGCTGTGGCAAAACTTCTCCTTCTGTCAGCCTGGTCATACTTATTATTTGCTTTTAATTAGAGCAGACTGCTGCTTTTGACCTGCATGGGTGAATGGATTGATTTCTTTGCAGGAGTTTTGTGTTCTGAGGAGCAAATAATCCGTGAAGAGACACTCAGTGCAGGAGCAGAACATGTATTGGCAGGTGGCAGAAAATACTCTCAGCCCAGCTTTTCTGTGGCATTACATCTCTGTGTGGATCTTGCCCAGAAAAGTGCCAAGTGTGACATCCCAAAGTCTCTGGTGGCTCAGAATTGATCTTATTTCTTCTTGCCTGAAGACTGTTGTGGACCAGACTTCTAATTCCTTAAGAACTTTCATTTATTCTTCACCTGGAATTCTTACTGCTGGTTTTCATTACCATGAGCTTTTAAAATTTAATGTTGGATTTCTTAGCAAGGAATTTTGAGGGACTATTTTGTCAAATCTGTCCCAGCTGTGTGCTTCGAGACACTTGTGTGCAAAATCTCATACAGAAACCTGCCCTGCAGGTGGCTGAAGTGGTTTCAGTGGCTTTTTTTCTTCCTCTTTGTGTTCCAGGGTGCACTCCTAGGAGGTGTGGAAGGGGTGTGAGTGATGCCATAATCACAAGGGAAGAAGCTGAAAGAATCCGTAGGTAATTTTTCTTTTAGCTCTAACTTTTTTCCAAGCACTTACTGTAATGACACTGTGCCAGTCTTTGAGGTGCAGCACAAAGCTCAGGAGCTTAAGCAGGATGGGTTAAACTGGTTAAAACACTAAATTTTGGGGTTTTTAAAGCCATTCTGCATTTTTGCTGTAGTGAAGGCAGTTCTCTCACAGAGTCTCTGAGGGGCAGGAGTGCTTCACTGAAAAAAAGGAAAAGGAATTAAATAAGTTCTAAAGGATTTTCAATTTGCCTCCTGTTTCATTTGGCCTTTAAAAGCAGAACAAAACCACAGAAGTCTCCTTTCAGCAGAGTCTTTCTGGGTAATTATGAACTGGTGCTGACCTTGT